AAACACATCGCGATATTCTATTAAACCCCCCCCCCCCCCCCAATTACAACAGCACTCAGACTGGAAGAGGGAGGAGCAGTACTTGCAACCAATCAGATGTCCTGCATGCAAAGGTGCTGACAAGGAATATGCTGATAGGAGAAGAGAGCAGAGAGATGATCTCATCAGTCTGCTGCTGCTAATTGACTGTCCAGTCACAGGGCAGAGGCAGGGAGGCGTCGCTTAACTGCCACAGAGCAAAGACAGGTCACCCGGCTGGCAGAGCTGTGTAGATCTCAGGACTGGCTGAGCAATAATACAAATCCTTTGGCAGGTAAAGCAGCTCTCATAGATGGAGCTCAGTGCGAGGAATAAGTGCGCAGCGTGGCCGCTGTTCCAGGAACTGAATCCTGAGGGTGGAGGAGTGTTGCAGATAAAGTTGTTATTAATATTGACACCGTGCGCGGCTCAGACTTCCTGCATGGCGTGTGTCATCGTGTAGTGTGAGATCCGAGGACAGATTAGGAAAGAGGAAGTATCCCTCGCCGCGTATTACATTTCATCTTCTCCTTAAAGGGAAGCTAACATATAACAGATTTCATTCAGTGCAATCAGAAATCTTGCTGGGCTGCGTCTTAGATCAAATCAATTACGGGGTAGGCCACCTAGGAAGTGCATTGCTTTCAGTGAGTTTTGTTTGGATCTGAGGTGAGCTGATCGTATATGTGGAGATATCTTCCCAAGGCTGAGCTCACACAGGGCAAACCACTTTTCAGAGGTGACTAAGTGGGGGGTTGCGGGTGTTCTGGAGGTTATACCCCCCCTCCCCCTGAATGTCCTTCGATCCCAATCGAGATTTTATATTGAAATACTGATCTGCAACTGCGATCCGATCCTTCGCTGACCTCACTTTTCTCTACTGCTGTTAAAGATTTTGAAACTGGTCAAGGAAATGCCTCCGTCTGGATAGTGAAGGAGCAGAAGTTCAATGATGAGGTCATGACTCAGGTTCAGACCAGATTAGGTCCAGGCCTGAGCTCCTTCAAGCACGGGAGGAAGCTCATTCCACTGCCGCCCAGGGAATTCCCCACCCACAGATGGGTGTAAGCAAATGGGTGGGATGCTGTGATGTCATTGACCTTATATGGCCACATGGCTGTGTTTGGTCACTGACAATGACCTTATATAATCGTGTGGCCATGTAAGGTCAATGATGTCATCACAAACATCCCGCCCCTTTTGTTTATGTGCGGCTGCGAGGCAGACAAAGGCCCCGGCCAGCAGCTGATGTGATCCCTTCACATTTTGCTCTAGCCTTCTCCACACCCCTCAATCCCCTGCAGTGTCCCTCAGACCCCTACACTGTCACCTGCAGGCCCTTCAGCTCCCACCAGTGCCCCATAGCTTCTTCCAGTGCCCTTCCACTTCTTCCAGTGCCCTTCCACTTCTTCCAGTGCCCCGCAGCCTACCTCAGTACTAGATCTTCCTAGCGGCCCCAACCCCATTGTAATGCTTCCACCCCCCCACAGCTTTTTCAACAGCCCCCTACTCTTTGCCCCCAGCCTTCTCCACATCCTCCAACCCCTTGAAATCCCCCCCTAGCAGGCTCTACAGTTCCCTGCAGTGCTCTCCAGCTCCCACTAGTGTCCCCAAGTCCCTTTCAGGGCCCTTCAACTCCCTCCAGTGCCTCCCCAGCCCATTTCATTACTAGAGCTCCCTAGGACCCCCAAGCCTCCTGCAATGCCATCCACCTTTTTTACCAGCCCCTCCACATTCCCCAAACCCCTACTGTGTCCCTCAGAACCCTCCACAGTCACCTGTATGCCCTTCAGCTCCCACCAGTTTCCCTGAACTCCTTCGAGTGCACTTACACTTCCTCCAGTGCCCCGCAGCCTAACTCAGTTCAAGAGCTTCCAAGCGGCCCCAAGTCCAGTGTAATGCTCCCACCCCCCACAGCTTTTTCAACAGCCCCCTTACTTATTGCCACAGCCCCCTCCACATCTCCCAACCCCTTGCAATGCACCCCCAGCCCCTCTATAGTTCCATGCAGTGCTCTCCAGCTCCCACAAGTGTCCCCAAGTCCCTTTCAGGGCCTTTCAACTGCTGCCAGTGCCTCCCCAGCCAATTTCAGTGCTAGAGCTCCCTAGGACCCCTTAGCCCCCTGCAATGCCATCCAACTTTTTTTTTACCAGCCCCTTCACACCCCAAACCCCTACAGTGCCTCTCATACCCCTCCACAGTCACCTGCAGGCCCTTCTGCTCCCACCAGTGCCCCTGAGCTCCATGCTAGATCTCCCGAGTATTCCTGCAATGCCCTCCAATGTCTTTAAAGGAGAAGTATGAGGTGAGTGCTTTTCACTCACCTCATAGTTCTAGCCGACCTGTGACAATGAGACTGTCACAGGTCGGTTCAGTAGATCGGGAGGTGAGCGAACACATACCGGCGTTCGCTCACCTCTCGATCCTGTCACGGCTCTCTGCCGTGACAGGGGAGGGGCTGGATTCCCCCCTCCCCGCTCCGATCCTCCAGCGCTAACGGGGAGGGGACAGGTACAGCTGGCTCTGCCTCTAGATAGGCAGAGCAAGCTGTCAGTCACGCAGCTGGGCGGATCTCGACATTGATGTCGGGATACGCTCCGGCTGCGGCGTCTCAGTATACCGCGAACTGTAGCTTGCGGTATACTGAGCTTAGGGTGATGGGAGGACGCTAGTTTGTGTCCTCCCGTTACCCAACTATGGGGAAAAGCCCTGACCCCATAGTTCTCCTTTAACAGCCCCTCCACATTCCCCAAACCCCCTGAAGTGCCCCCTAGCCCACTTCAGCCCTATCTACCCCTAGTCATTGTGCATTAAAGGTATGATACAAGGTGTCAGGTGCGGAGGAACGAAGTGTAAATCCAATCTTGTGACTCATTGTAGTGAGTCATCTATTATCAGACCATCCCAGGGGATTCTTCCAGAAGCAGCACGTCTGATCCAGAATTGTATATATAATTACCATCATTATTTATTGGCTTACCCCAGGCCTGCCGTATCCCTCTCCTGTGCTTACTCCTCCTTACTCCCATCCGTCTATCACTCATCATTTCCTTCACTCCAGATGGGTCAGACACACACGGCCTTTCTATTCTGGACTCCAAAACTTGCTTTTTTTTTTAGCCAATTATCAAATGTTTTCTTCTCGGGTTTTCAAACACTTTTCAACTTCTTTTCTCAACTTTATTAAACCCCTCAATAACTGTCTGAACAGTTCCATCTGCGTAACAAGCTGACCCTACGTAAGAACCAAAATTCAAGTCTTGTCGGCAGAGCCTTTTGCCTCATTCATCTTCAGAAAAAAAATTATTTAGAGTCACAACTGACGTATAAAATAACCACCAAATACAATCATTTAATGTCTCTAGAATAATTTAACCCCTTAGTGACACAGCTTCAGACATTTGTGTTTTTTTAGTTCCTGGGGACCGGAGCAATTTTGCCATTTTTGCTATGTGCTTGTTTAACCAGAATTTCCATCTTCCTCATTCATTGCACCTCCACATTTTATATACTGGGTTTTTTTTAACCACTTCCTGTCCAGGTGTTTACACCCCCCTTCCTGGCCAGGCCATTTTTCAGTATTCAGCGCTGTGGTTCTTTGACTGACATTTATTTCGTCATGCAACGCTGTACTGAAATAATTTTATACCATTTTTGGGGACAGATAGAGCTTTCTTTTTGTGTTATTTAATCACCACTGGGGGGGTTTCTTTTTTACTATATTAAGGAAAAATTACAGAAAATTTTGAAAAAAACACGTTTTTTTTTTACATTATGTTATAAAACATTTATTATTTCCCAACTTTTTGGTGAAATATAAAAGTCGGGGTCACGTCGGGTAAAAAGACACCAAACATGTCAAGCTTTAAAGTTGCGTGCACCCACGAAATCGCAAAAAACTACAATACCTCAAATTGGCCATAGGCGACGCTTTAAAAGCTTTTACCGCTCATCAGTTTAGTGTTATCAGTGATTGATGGCCCTAAAATTATTGTTCTCACTCCAACGTTCCTGGTGATATACAACATGTGCGGCGTAATGGGCGCAATCGTCGTTTTCTATGGGTGGGGACTAAAAAATGTTTGTGTTTTTTAAAATTATTTTTCATGTGTGACTTCATTTTTGTTTTTGCAACTTTAATTTTTTTGTCCTATTTTTTCCCCCACTTAACTTTATTGCTATCACATAGGGGACTAAGAAGCTCCACCCCCCCCCCCCCCCCAGGGGGGCGAAGAGGGCACTATGAGGAGCACAGGAAATAGATACATTATGGCCACTAGAATGCTAGATGCAGCTGAGGAGCGAAGGAAATAAATACATTATGGCCACTAGATGGAGCTGAGGAGCACAGGAAATAAATACATTATGGCCACTAGATGGAGCTGAGGAGCACAGGAAATAAATACATTATGGCCACTAGATGGAGCTGAGGAGCACAGGAAATAAATACATTATGACCACTAGATGGAGCTAGGGAGCAGATTTGGGTGTTATTTATGCATTGAGGTGCTTGTATTTTGTCTGGAGCAGAGGCAGGCTGGAATTGGCCATACGGCCGGCTACAATCAGTAGTAAATGTTACGTTTAAGCCCCCGGAATGTTCCCAGTCTTCAGATTTTACTTTCTGTCTTTCAGAATCGGAGCTAAAAAGACAATTTCCTGACCTTTTTGATGACCAGGTGAGAATACGCAACATAACACTGTCATTTCTTTGGCCTATCTTCTTCTATAGGGGCTGAGAGGAGGACCACGGGAAGTTGGGTTGGGGAAGAGGGGGGGAGACCTTTTATTTTTGCTGCATTTCATCTCCTTTTATAATAAATATACTAAACTCACCTCAATTTAAGAAATAACAATTTATGTTTCCTGTTTTATTTCACTCTAAAGTACCGCAGCGCTGAATACTGAAAGATGGCCTGGACAGGAAGGGGGTCTAAACACCTGGTCTTGAAGTGGTTAAAGCTTAACTCCAGGCACAGAAATGGTGTTTTAAATACTTGCCTCAATAGTCACATGGGATATAAATTTACATTGTGTGCAGCAAATGCCTTTATAAACCCAGGTACTACCATGATGTAACCAGCAGTGACATCATCACTGTGCTGTACATAGCTTGTGCAGAAAGCAAATGTGGGAGGGACCTAGCAGACCCCACCCAGTACAGCAAACTACAAAGGGGAGGGGGGGGGATTGGAGACAAGACCAGTCACCCTGCTCAAGGACAGAGAGCAGCGTTGACCGGTCTTTATTACAGGAGGGGGCGGAGACAAGACCAGTCACCCTGCACAAGTAGAGAGAGCAGCAGTGACTGATCTTTATTACAGGAGGGGGCGGAGACAAGACCAGTCAAAACCTCAAAATTTCACACTGGATTACTGCACAGATCTGGAAGAAATACACCAGGATTAAATGAAGATTACACGTGGCTCGGTTTTGTTCAGACAATAGTTGCTCAGCTTTAGATTGTGGCCCATGTATGAGCGTCATTCAGGTGGTCAGTTTTTTTTTTTCTGATACTCCACAATGATAGTGTTGGGTTATTTTTCATGTTGTAGCATAGTGAACTGTATACAGCACTCATTACATATATATATATATATCTCTACCACATTGTATTTTTTTTCTAGGACTCAGTAACAACACTTACAAAGTTTTGCTTCCCTTTTGATGTAAAAAGGTAACAATTCTTCCTTCTGATTCTCTTGTCATTGCTCGTTCAAAACTCAGACCTCCGATTTCTTACAACCAGTTTATGTAAATTGTTCAGGTAACAAACTCCTGCTCCAGTGTCTATTGTGCCCAATGTTTGGGCTTGTTGCATATGTATCAAATTGTTAGTGACTTTTATCTCCCCCACCACAATGCCACCGTAATTCAGATGGAAGAACTCATCCGTCCAGCACTTCAGTTTCACGCTGACCGACCTCCAGGGCTACCAGCGCTTCGGCTTTTGTCGGCTGTCTGTAGAGGCGAAGAGCTGCACGTGTATCCTCAGGTGAGAGCGGCTCCTCATGACAGTTAAATCCGCAATGAACGGAATCCATTTGTATCAATCTCTTTGGTTATGGTTGTATAACATATTGCCCTTTCCTTTGGCTTGATCATGCCAGGAATTCAAACTGACACTCGTCTCAGCTTAAAATCAATTCCTGGTTTAATGGTTGAGCTCAAAGTTTAGAGACATACCGTGTTTCCCCCCGAAAATAGGACACTGTAATTTTTTGGGCTAAAAAAAACCCCACACTAGGTCTTATTTTCGGGGTAGGTCTTATATTTTTTTTTTTATGTACAACAATCCACACTTATTCATGTACAACAGTCTACATGTATTCATGCACAAAAATATGGTGATCAGGGCAATAAGGGGTGCCGTACCTTTCCAAGAGCAATTTGCTAACCAATCGCTGGCCAGAATGAGCGAAGCGCACTTCCACTATCGATTCCTCACAGGCGGAGTGCATTTGGTATCACTGCGCCTGTGACAGGAGCCGGCGCTATAGAGGAGGCATCGGCTTATGCGGCTCTGCTCCCTCCGGTGCTGCCTCGCTTCCCTTAGCGCTGGCTTCGTTGGCACCGCTGATTCTCTCCTGCCTCTCTCGCGGCTCTTCAAGTTCCCCCTTATACCACCAGCGGCCCTGGGAATGGTCACAACTGTAACAGACGCACCTTGGTGGGAGCCGGTACCGCGGGTCGTGGACTCCTTGCGCAGGCGCGCCGCGGGTCTGCGGCCCCGAGACGTCAGCGTCAGAGGGTGACGTCCACCGCCGCCGTCCAGCAACCCCCTGCGCAGGCGCATCGGCAGATTCCTCTCTCTCTCCCCCGAGACGCGTCCACGTCGGGCGCAGACGCGCCGCGGGACTCCGCCCCCTCCAGACGCAGCACTCGGCTTAAAAGCCGCATCTCGACACTTGATCAGAGTCTTCTGTTGAGTGTGCAGGACGCTGATCAGCTCAGCTCCCCACTCACCTCTCAAAGGACCTGACGCCTAAGCCTCATCTGGAGCCTCCGAGGCCAACTCTAATCGCAAGTACTCTGGGAATCCTACCTATGCATAGGGAACCTTGCTGTCCACATTGATTTCCAGTATTGTCCAATTGATGTCTGCTAAAGTTAAGGGGGTGATAGCCTGATAAACCATACTTAGTAGAACTGTATTGTTGACTTCACCATTCATCAGTAATCTCAACCTAATTGATCTCAGTGGTCTACCACTACTACTATCAGCAGGGCAGCCATCAGGGGGGTACGGCCGATAGTCATGTATGGGGCCCGGGCAGCCTGACCCTTACATGAGTATCGGCCGATGGTGAAGAGCGAGGAGGTGGACGGGCCCCTGCAGTGGCGGCGGAGGCCTGGCCCTAGCAGCGCAGGGCCCCAGCATTGCCGATCCGCTTCCCGCGTCCAGCGGGTCACTCAGCCCTGCATCCAGCGGGTCACTAAGCCCTGAGTCCAGCGGGTCGCTAATCCCTGCGTCCAGCGGGTCGCTAATCCCTGCGTCCATAGGGTCGCTAAGCACTGAGCCAAATTCATATACTCTTCTGCATTGATGTATAAATGTATTGCTGGGATTTGTAGTTCCCCTACTGCCGGTGCTATTGTGCATTAGAGTGTAAGCTCCTCTGTACAGAGACTGATGTGACTGTGGGGGAGGGGACATTAGAGTGTAAGCTCCTCTGTACAGAGACTGATGTGACTGTGGGGGGCATTAGAGTGTAAGCTCAGGGTGTGATGTGTTGCAACTTCCTCGCGGCCTTATTCCAAAACTGGGTATAGCGAGGAGGAGTTGCTATCTGATTCCCGTCCTAATCCTTTAGCTCAAAACCGCAGTTGTGATCCACTTTATCCACAGCCAATACAGGCGAGCGTTACAACAACTAGGTATTTTTTTCAGTAGGGATGCACCGATATATCGGCCGCTGAAACATATCGGCTGAAAATGGCACTTTTGGCTAAATGCCGAAAGTGCCATTTTGCTGCCGATACATCGGCGCATCCGTGATCCGTGAGAGAAAGTGACAGCCGGCCAAGCGCTGCGGGAGGAAAGCGCTGTGAGCGGCCGGCGTCTCTCCTCCCAAACCGCTCAGCCTCCTATCACAGAACTGCAGAGCGGTGTGGGAGCGGAGACAGCCCGCACTGTCACAGGAGGCTGGGCTCTCCACCCACACCGCTCACTCAGCCTCCTGTGACAACATGTCAGAGAGGAAAGCGAGAGGAGGACATGGTACGGTTACTATATCCCCAATTATGAATGAAGGGGAAGTGATCTACATCCCCTCCTGATCATTCATAATTGTGGTTAGAGTAAACATACTCTGTCCTCATGTTATGAATGATCAGGAACACTCAGTACAGCGGATTCCTGTTCATTGATGACAGGGGCTGCAGAAAAAGAGATTGAGGGCTCTGTGTGTCTCTGAGGACTCTGTGTTCTCAATCTCTTTTTCTATTTTAAACAGGTTCTGTAGAACACATAATCTCTTAGACTAAGTTATATATAGAACTGCAGTGTGTTTCGGTGCATTTAATACATGTGGTGAGTAAATATATTCAATTTCTTTCATTATCTTTCTTTTCAGCTGTTTGCCGTGGTTTGAGCTTTTCTATAAATTACTCAACCATATCGCAGAGCACCTAGTAAAGGACCAGGTAATATGTTCATCCTTTCTACACCTCTTGTCCTTTGGGCACACCTTCATTTTTTCACAGTCTTTCTTTATTCTTTAAATAATTCCATACCTTGGATACTTTTTGGGCTAAAAAAGACTTTCTTTTCTTTAAAGTTTAATTTCACATCGTAAGACTTCAGTAGAGCTTGGTGATATAATAGGTTGGACTTGATGGACTTATGTCTTTATTCAACCTCAAATACTATGTAACTATGTAATACGTTTTTACTTTTGCAGGCGCAGTTTATTATTGGTTAGAAAGGGTGGCCATCTGTTCAGGCCCGGCGCTACCGCAAGGCAAGTCAGGCGGCCGCCTGAGGGCGCTGCAGGGTGAGGGCGGAAAAAACAGTGCATTTATGTGTAGGCAAGAATCCTAGCACCGGCCCTGCATTTGTTACCGTACCTTCAGGATCCACACCTGTGCATCCAGGGGCATGGCCTGTCCTGTACACCTGAAGCGTGTCTTGTGTGCACATGTTGGATCATGGCCTTGTGGCTATGGACGGTTGCAAGTGTAATCGTCAGCGTGTTGGCACCCATGCATTGGCTAGCGCTGGCACATATTCATTAATATGCATAGCTGTGCATTCTTGATGCTTGCTGTGCTCAAGGCCAAGAGGATATTTTAGCTCCTTTCCTCATGGTGGCCGTTGCTGTGACTGGACACCTATCCTGTTCCTGAGATTCTGTTGTTCCTGCACAACGTAGCCATCCTGCTTCTGTGACTTGGTGGGGCAATCCTGAGGGCCACAACCTGGTATCAACTTACAGCAAAGTAGCCTGAGGGAACACTATGGTTACTGGCTCATTATTCCTTGCGGGGTGCTCTGGTGAAGACCAAGTTGCCACTTAGACTCTTCGTTTTGAGTGAGCCCATGTCCCCTGCCAAGGGTGTCATCTGTAACACCACCAGTGATGGACTAAAAGTGAGGCATATATGGAGGCAAGGGTTTTTGGAGTCCCAGGCTGCTATTGAGCAGATCCAAGGCAGCTATCCCATGTAAGTGGCTCCTCATTCACTGCCAACCCTCTTCCCACAGGTCCATTTTAAAGAGTACCTGTACTTTTGTTTTGTTTTTTAAAAAGACAGGAAAGGAAATCTCTTCTCATGTTAACTTCAAGGGAAAGGGAAGGGGGTGGGTGTTTATCATTGTCTGTGTGCCCAATAAGGAGGTTTCCCCGAATGTACTATCCTAATGACAAGAGATGAAAAGGACAGGAAATGATACAAAATCTTTACAAAGCAATAGAGAAAGCAAAAAAAAAAAGGGTTTCTGTAGTAGAGTGGTGGAAGAACTAGAACCTTTGTTAGCTTTTTATTGCTGTCTGTGATTTCAAGGTGACCTTCATTACCCTCATTTATTGTCCTGGCATCACAGAGCTAAAAGGCGATGGGGAAATTCCCCAGTGGGGTCGCAGACAGAAACTAAAACGTGGAGAAATCCTAAAATCTAAAACTAAAAAGACGGTTTTGGTTGGAGGTGGACCTTTTGGTATTTCGGATGGCCAATATTAAGTCCCATTGTCTTTCAGCTAGTCCTGCCTCTTAGACTACTATGCTGCCACTCAATCCTTCTTCTTTCCTTGATAGATCAACGAGGTTACTCACATTCTGCAGACTCTGTATGACCACCCAGTGCCGGAGGTGAACAAGACTCTGGATCTAGAGATGGTGAGTTCTTTGTCGGTATTTAAAAGGAAGTTCAGGAACAGGAAGGAAAGATGTTTCTTTTTTGTTTACATACAAAGCTCATATAATATTAAAAAACAACTTTAAATCAAAACTTAATTATTATTTTAGATCCAGAATGTATGTGATTCTGATCAGCTAAATGTAACTAATCTTACCATTCATGTTGAAGTACATCTAAGGCTTCTGTATGAACAAAGCAAGTCCCAAATCCAATTACTATATGATGTACAAGCCTCATAAAGCAAACTGAAAATCCTTTACCTCATCTGACTGAGCCAAATCCTCCTTCATTTGTGTCTCACACACTCCCCCTCCCAGGCACTGCAGCTCACAGTGGGAGGGTTTCAGCAACAGAGGCAGTACTGTCAATGCAAAAAGCAGTGGGCGGAACTAGTTGTGGCCAGGTACTGACTGACAAGCTACAGGCTTCTGAAGTATCCGTGATAGTTCTGATAACCAGTCCCCTTGAAGCATCTTCTCATCCCATTGGTATGCAAGCAGGCACAGACTACATGAGAGTGGCAACTCTGCTCTGAATTCATGAGCAGCGTTGCATCGTTGTCACCCCATCACATGCAGCTGCATTAGGTGGACTACAGTAACAAGAACAGGCAATAATTAATTTTTTTTATTGTTGCACTTATGCTTATTTTGGAGGTTGTGCCCAAGCCACTACCCCCCCCCCCCCCCCCCTCCTTCCTTTTTTTTTTTTTC